TTAAAAGAGATCACTCTGAATTAACTCATATTGTTTAAGACCTGTGGCTTTATTTCAATTACATAAGATAAGTGGAATGTACTATTCTACCCTTACGTGGTTCATTATACACAAGTCCTTGGAAAACAGCTTTAATGAATAGAAAAGTCCCACTTATAAACAGCATATAAAAAATGTTTACATGTGAATAAGAGCTTCTAACAGGTTTAGAAGTTTTTTAAAACAGTGCTTAAGCATTCTGCTTTTAATATCTTGTACTCTGTTAATTTGCTTAACAAATTCTCCTTTGTTAACAGTTTGACAGTAAACTTTAAGCTAGCCCTTGGAATTCGCCCCTCAAACCAGTCCCTAATGAAATCTGAATAATGAGTGATAAGTATACAATTTTTAACATATGAGTCAAGCTTCAATATAGAAGAAAGTCAATATTATAGCTTTACAGCATGAAGACAATTCAGTCCAAAATCGTGTGCTTGTGGCTTTTGTTTATAAACCTACATTGATTTTTAAGAAAAAAGACACAGAAACCCTAGTGCCCTACACAGAATTACAGAAGTGCAATGCCCAACCTCTTGCATCATGAAAATACATTAAGGTACAAGAGAGCTTAAACAGGTGTTAAATTTAACATCAGCTAGCTCTCCGAAACATGCTCAATTTAGGGTCACGCAGGGCATCTCAGAATGCTAACCTAGTCTCCTGAGCTCTCAGCAAACGGGCATTTTTCACTCGGAAGGACAGGCGCACAGCCTTGGGTTTTACAGGGAGAAAATCCCTTCTGAAAAGCCAGCCAAGCCAACCAATGACTCTCCTTGCTTCTGCTGTCCTGGGTCCTGCAGGCAGCCGCACAGCAGTCAGCCTTCTAGAACACCTTCTCTGTTGACTCATTTGTGAGTCATCGAATTTTAGCAGAGACATCAACATCACGTTGCAGTTCTGTTGTTGGGAGCCAGAGACATTCTGTAGGAAACAAGGTCTGCGTTTTCAGAGCTGATTCAGACCTGTGAGCAGCCGGGGGAGCATAATGATGTGCAGGCATCTGTGTTTGTCTTCACATCCTCCTGTGCTCTCGCTACTGACTTTATGTAACCACACACGACACTGCCATTTAAAGCTGCAAACACTTTTTCTCTCGACAAGGTTCTTAACAAACTGTTATGCTCAAACTGATTCCTAATAGGACTCTCTATTTCTTTCTTTTCCTTATCACCTTATCATTAATCAATATATAGTAAAATCCAAGGAAATTTAGTGGTCTGCTTTCAGAATTTGGCGCCCCCCCCCCAAATTCTAGAGAATATAATTTTCAAGTACATTTCAAGCAAAGTTTCCTGGTTCTGAGAACATTTCTCTTTATATATGTAAATGCACATAGACCGGTGGTTCTCAACAGGGGTAGATTTTTGCTCTCCAGGGGGCACTTGGCAATTTCTGGACATACTTTTAGTTGCCATAATTGGGGACAGAGGGGAATGCTACTGGCCCCCAGTGAGTAGAGGTCATAGATGCTGCAAAACATCCTACAATGCAAAGGGACTTCCTCCCACAACAAAGACTTATCTGGCCCAATATGTCAATATTGCTGAGGTTGAGAAACTCCTACATAGATTAAAGACATTCCCATGAAAAATGAGATCACATTCCATATAAATATGGTAATGTTAAGATGAGTGGTGTTATTCCAAAAAATTCCCCTTCAAAGAGCCATTTGAAAAGATGCAGCCTTTCAAGGAGGAGAAACTAATGACTGTCAAGTTCCCAGCTGGGCTTGACATGGTTCCAATGTTTACAGGGTCCCTGTGGATGCTGTACATTTGTAAGATTGGAAATAATAGACTCCTTTGTAGAATAAATACAGCAATTTGTGTCTTAATGGGTGCTCTAACACATACCGCTTCATTTTAGCGGCACCGTGCATTAACCTTTGAAATTTCAAAAATGGAAGGCCACATTTTGATAAAGGTTTCTAAATTACAGGAAAAGTATTAACTGAGCATTAAATAGACAACATAGGGAAAATTAGGTAAGAAAAAATTAGCATGGTCACAATGAACTCAGTGTTACTGGAACCCAGATCTGAAGTAAAATAGCATTCTGTTTTGGGAAACTGATTTCGTATTTCACAGGCTAGAGATAAACTCTGATGGCTCCTTTGTCTTCTTCTTTAGACAGAAACATAATTATTGCTATGTGGTAAAAATGAGAAACCATATTGTTAGCTTTATAGTTCCATATTCCCAGTTTTGTTTACTCTCGAGCTAGGTATTCTGGAGAGGGGAAAAAAAATTAAATCAGATGTCTCCAGCTGGACGTCTCTCTGAAATGACAGATGAGATCGAGTCATAAACTTCTACAGCAAAAGCAGACCCATCTGTGTTGTATGCAATTAAAGGATTGCTAGTGACAAATGCCTAAACAGAACAGCATCTTTCTCACCTTTAGAGGTGAATGAAGAAATTGTGCTTTAGAATAAAAAGAAAAAAGCTATTAAGTCTAACTAAAAGCTTGATTAGCACGAAGAGTGAACTTCACTACAAATTTATGACTTATTTATATTTTCTGTACTGTTCCATAAACCTTCATAGTCTATACAGTCGTCTCTCAGTATCTGTGGGGGATTGGTTCCAGGACCCCTGCAAACACAAAAATCTGCTCAAGTGCCTTATATAAAATGCCATAGTATTTGCACATAATCTATGCATAGGCTCCCATATACTTTAAATCATCTCTAGATTACTTATGATACCTAATACAATGTAAATGCTATGTGATTAGTGGTGCCTGTACTGTTTTTTCATTTATATTATTTTTTATTGTTTTTTCCAAATATTTTTAATCTGTGGGTAGTTCAATATACAGATGCAAATCCCATGCATATGAAGGAAAACAGTATCCTCCCACTCTGCTCTGCCCAGAACCATCAGTAGCATCACCAAACATTATATAGCAGAAAGGAGATGAGCACAGAGATTTAATTCACTTGCACGATTTAAAGCTTTGATATGATGCCCTTTTAATAGAAACAACTTACATTTTTAGCCTACTAACATCTTTTATTCAAAGAGTTTCCATCTGTCTAATCTCATTTTATTCTCGTGGCATGCAGGTAACATACACAAGGCAAACATCTCTATCCCATTACAGAGGTGAGGAAACTGAGTCTCAGGAAAGCTATCTGATTTGTCCAAGGTCACACAGTTAATGGTGGTGCTAGAAATAGAGCTCTCTTGGCCCTACTGTGCTGAAGAAGTCACACAGAATATTATAAAAATAAACCTTGACAAGGAGAAAAGCAGCCCCTGACATCCAACAGGTGGCCCAGTACTCTCAGCTAGGCCATATGTTCTCTGTTGAACATGAAGAACTTCACAGAACATCAACATCAGACAAGGCCACTCTGTGATTGTGATGGATCAAGACAAAAATGAGACCATTCCCTAACCATGTCTGAACACAGACAAAATATGAATATTATCCAAGCCACAAAAATTATGAAATGATCCTCTCTCCCAGCTAATATGAGTGACTGCTGCTTCTGTAGAAGTCTGTCCTTCCCATAGATAAAATTTAAGATACCAATTACAGAATTACTTCCTCTTCCTGACAGCATTCTTATTCACAGCAAAGCCCCACTTCCTTAAATCCTCCCCAAAATCACCTTACACAGGCCCCAATCCTATAAAAGGTATTTCTAGCATGTTCTTACTGAGATGTCCCACAGTTCCCCATGGTGTTTGTGCTTTCTCACTGTATGAGAACTTGTTCCACTACGGGTGTGTTCCTGCTGGTCTTTGGCTGGAGGCCGTTGACAAGCTTATAGAAAGAACCAAAGAAGTCATGATTCATATTCAGCTTTTTAAACCTGATTCCTAACAGCGTTTTCCTAAATCATAGCAAAGTAGGAACCCAACAATCCTGGGGCAGCCATGGGAAAGCTACCCAGAGTGATAAAATTGAATTACAAATAGAAGGTCCACTTGATGGAATAAACCTACCTATATGTTTAGGGACATTTTGACATAAATTAAAGGTTTCATTGGGCCAATGTCCTGATACTTCAGCTTCATTTGCATTGTAAGCCTGGTAGCCAGATGCAGAAGGGAGTCAAACAGGATCAAATCCCGTTCAGAAATTCTGATTGGATTCACCTCCCCCATGTCAGTATCCTCATAAAACATAAAGCTGTGTCCCAATGCAAAGACAGTGATCATTTTAATTAAATATTCCAGCTCTTTCTATCAAAGGGTAGAATTTTGAATAATGCTGTAATAATACCTACCAATTTCAAAAGGGATTGCTAAATTCCTATGAAAATTGAATTATAGACTGTCTATATTACATCTAAATATTGGTTAAATTGCTTTAAAAATTGCTTAAAAAATTAAAGTCCATCCCATCATCCAGAGATTTTATCTGTATTAAATCAAATTTTTCTGAATTTTTAACTGAATAAAGAAATCATGTTGTTACCATGAAGTCATCTTCTTTACAAATGATGATGAAATAAGAAGGATGAATAAGTATTTTCATGAAAATTGGCTTTAAAATAAAATGAGGTGTTTTTCAAGTAATATCAGAAAAATCAGTTATCTAGTTGCTTCAGGCTTCAATTTCTCCAAAAATAGAACCCAAATTATTTTGAATCCAGAAAAGTGTCCTAGTATTCTATTTCAATATCATAATTCTATTTCTCCTTCCTAATTTCTATGCACTTCTAGAAACAAAACTTATACCCACCAGATCTCCCAATGCCAACTGACTTCAGCTCTCTATCACAAATGACCTTCAAGTTGCTAGAAATCTTCACAAGCACCCATTACTGGACATATTATAATCTTAACCATATCATCTTTTACCTTTTGTGTTTGATCCATAACCTCTATTCAGAGAATCTCTCTCAGAGTCCCTAGTCTTCAAATTTGCTATTAAGTTTTCAATTTGTTCATATAAAATATAAACAATATGTTTGGGATTTATTGAGGAAAAATCATTCTACTTACCACATTTTTTCCTTCATTTTGGGCATCTCGATAATCAGGATTAAGCTAAAAAACAAAGCAAAATCAGCTTTAAATTACTATTAAAAGCACATTAACAAGACCAATGATCTTTAATTCAGTTCATTCTTCTACCCATTCTTCTAGCTTCTAAAAAGAAGCTAAGAAAGAAACTATTACTAAATATGACAATTTAAAATATTATCAACAAACCTGTTGCAGGAGACAAGATCTAAAATGCCAAGTTTATGGTCTTGGTTTATATTAGAACTGTTCACATATTCCAACAAGTGAAAACTAACAATCTCATCTTCTATGGGAAATCATTCAATAGAGTTCACCATTTTACCCACCACAAAAACTGCCATTTACCAATAACTCAGACACCAATTGTAAAAAATAGACCAAAGAAGAGTTTTAACAATGATTCAGGATCACACTTTACACACTATGAATGCAAGGAAAAGAAAACAAAAGAGCAGCTATGTATCAGATATGTCTGTTAATACATGGGGGCCATTGAAACCAACAAAGACACATGCCTTTGGGCTTGGATAGTGGAGTTTAGGGTTCATTCCGATGAGAAAAATGAGCCCTGAATATGTTCACAGTGTTGACCAACACATCTGGTGGGATCCCTAACTCCTGACTCCCATCTGTCTACACCGTCTTAAAAGGATGTCTTAGTTGTGCTGAAATAGCTAGTTGATAATCTGCAAAGCAACAGATTTATAAGGTATTTTTCCTAAAATAATGAGTTTTCCAATTTAATCATTTTGCTGTAAATCAATTGTTGTGTATAACATACAATCTCAAGTAGTCAAAGTTATCATTTAAAATGTAAGGTCAGGCCGGGCGCAGTGGCTCACACCTGTAATCCTAGCACTCTGGGAGGCCGAGGCGGGCAGATTGTTTGAGCTCAGGAGTTCGAAACCAGCCTGAGCAAGAGCGAGACCCCGTCTCTACTAAAAATACAAAGAAATTAATCGGACAACTAAAAATACATAGAAAAAATTAGCCAGGCATGGTGGCGCATGCCTGTAGTCCCAGCTACTCGGGAGGCTGAGGCAGGAGGATCGCTTGAGCCCAGGAGTTTGAAGTTGCTGTGAGCTAGGCTGACGCCACGGCACTCACTCTAGCCAGGACAACAGAGTGAGACTCTGTCTCAAAAAAAAAAAAAAAAAAGTAAGGTCAGTGCCAAGATGTTTAGCTGCCAAAATATAAAAAATAAAAAAATTTAAAGAAAAGACAAAATGTAAGGTCAAGAGTCTTTCTCATAATGACATTTGACTAGGAGCTCTGAGAATTGCCCCTCCCAACTTATCACTAAATACCACTGAAACTGTTTTTAAAAAAAGAAGCAAAAAACAAAAGGAAAAAAACTCTTAATCTTATTGAGAACCAAGGCTGAAAAACAACCTAAATTCCAAATTTTCACTGAATTGACACTAATTATAAAGCAGATGGTTCTGGGGGAGAGGCAGGGAACAACCCAGTTTTTATCTTACGGCATACTTGAACCTCACATCAAGCCAGTGGCTGTGTGAACAGAGTTAAGAAGATACATGCTGTGGCTCTCACTGTTTGTCACTGACTGAGAGACCCAGAGAATCCACCAACCAAAAACCTATACAGGGGGGTTTCTCTATCACTGAGAAGCTGCTGTGAGATGAAGCAGAAAATTGCTCCCCAGTCTGCCCCATCCACTGTCTCTAACTTCCCATGACCAGAGAGGTACTGTAATGCCAAGAAAACAACTGGGCAGAGAGTGGAGGGGGCTTTCTGAGAAGCACCACATGAAGAAAGGTGAGAAAAGAGAAAGAATCAGGAATGCTGTGGGCTGGAATTACATCACATGATGATATAGAAATAGCAAAGGGGTAGGAGAAGAAACTGCAATAGAGCCCAGGTATGTAGTAGAGTCGACGTCTGCTACAACTGGGAACTACACTGGAAATGGACCCATCGGTCTGCTCTGCAGCTGAAGATTTAGACAGAGGATTGAATTGTCTTACTGGAGAATTACAAAATGGAACAAAAGGACAATCCGCTCGACCCCATCTGGTTCTGCACAGAGCTCACTCATCTGAGGATAATAAAGAAAGAAGAAAGGAAGGAAAAAGTAAATGGGACTAATGGAAACGTATGTTAGAACAAGGGAAATTCTTTCTCACAGTCTTTCTGAGTATTTCCTACGGTATGATGCAAAATAAATTTTCAGGAAATGGTCTGGCACACTCAAGAAAGTACAAGTAAATATGTCCTCTATGAAAGGCAACAAAATGACATGAACAGCTAGAAGGATAATTTAAAAAGAACATAACATAAAAAGGAGTTAAGGAAGATTTTGATATAAATGAAAACATAAATACAAAATTAAAGTCCACGCTGGCAGCAATAAAAAGCATAGTCCATATTACAGAAAACGAGTGATGCAAAGGATAAGAAGTTGAATAACTATCCCTCAATACAGAGGGAAGGTATCCAGAAGTGAAAACTAAGAAAAAGAAAATAGTCACAGAGAACCAGCAAAGGTTACTGTCAACAACAAATGGGAAACCAGGGCACTCAAAGGGAAGAGAGAATCAGTGGAACACATGCAATAATCAAAGACGATAGAACACAAAACTTCTTGCCAGGCGCCATGGCTCACGGCTGTAATCCTAGCTCTTTGGGAGGCCAAGGCAGGAGGATTGCTTGAGGCCAGGAACTAGAGACCAGCCTGGGCAACATATCGAGACCCTGCCTCTACAAAATAATTTTTTTAAATAGCCTGGCGTGACAGCATGCACCTGTTTGGGAGGCTGAGGTGGAAGGATCGCTTGAGCCCAGGAGTTCGAGGTTACAGTGAGCTGTGATTGCACCACTGCACCCCAGCCTGGGTGACAGAATGAGACCCTGTATCTAAAAAAAAAAAAAAGACAAAAACAAAAACAAAAGAAAAAGAAAAGAAAACTTTCCTTAGCTGAAGAAAGAATTACACATGCGGAGGTTACTCTATTCCTGGAAAATCAATGACAACAGATTGATACATTCATTCGAGGTTGATAATGGGAAAAAGGGAGGAGGAATCAGAGGTAAGGACATCAAACAGAGACAGAAATTAGGCTTAGATGAAAATGTACATCATGTAACAGGAGAATAGATAAGCAAAATGTGATCCATTCAAACAATGGAGGACTGCTCAGCAACGAACATGATGAGCTGTCGATCCACACCTCAAGCGTTAAGTTGAAGAAAGCAGACACAAAAAACGATGTAGTGCGTGATTCCATTTATATGAGATGCAAAAACAAACAAAACTAAACTATGGTGAAACATATCAGAAAGTGAAATGGGGTGTGAGGGAGGGGAGTGGGTGGAAAGCAGTACCCCACCCAGGAGCACTAGGACAGCAGTCTGTCAGTTTTCAGAACTGACACGCAAGGCGGGCAAGAAGACACAAGTTGCCTGTTAGTGCTGGGCCAGCTGCTGGGGGGGCCTTGAGGCTGATGTTGCTTTTGCTACAGAGACTCAGACTCTCCCTCAGACTCCTTAAATTCCCTTGAATGATAAGTAATAGAATTAGTTCCAAAACAAGATTAATCTTGCTTTTAGAAGCCAAGAGTGAAAGGTAGAAGGCCAAAGAGTGAGTTAAGTGGCCTCCTTTCTATCCATTAATCAAACTCAAGAAAACAAATTTTTACTCAGCAATGAAGAAAATTCTAGCACAGTTCCTAAGGGGTTTATTCACCTACTTTAGTCAAGTATCAGAGTAGTTTTATGTATTTATCTATTTGTTTTGTTTGAAGAATCCCAACTTTTCTTTTAAATTTTAAAAAAAAAATCCATACTAAAATTTTAACTAAATTACATCTAAAAACTATGCAACATGTTCAACCAAGGGTACAACTTTATGGTCGAAGTTTCCATTCAATACGTGTTAGAACAGTTGGTCACAGACACTGTAACGTAAATTCACGGGGGACACCATGACATATCCATCACTAAAACGTGCACTAGAACAGGAATTAACGCACCTAAGTCAAACACAGAATAATTTGTGCCCTCTGGAACTTGCTCATATTCTATCCCAAAGACAATGTTACTTTCCAAAATTCAGTCTTCACATATTTCACCTCTGACGATCACCCATCCCTGACAAACTGTCTCGGGAAATGGATTCCAGACTCTGCTCTATAAGGAAATACCAGGGGCCTCAGGAAAGGTCACCTAACCCCTTTGGAGCTCAGTGTCCTCATCTACAAAATGAGAAAAAGTCTATGACCAAACCATGATTCTATGTCAATAAATTTTACATATTTATGCATTTGGTGGCAATAGTAAAGATGGTGCCAATCATTTAGATTTTGCCTCATCTGTGTTTCTCAGGCTACAATGTGATTTTTAAAATAATTAACATAGAGTGATTACTTCGGTAAGTTCAATAAAGTGTAATTAATAATAATAATGATCATGATGATGATAATGAGGAAGAGAAGGAGGAGAAGGCAAAGGGAGAACAAAAGCCACCCAAATAAATCTATGGCTGTATAAACTTACCAATAATAACTATGAAAGGAGAAATAAATATATGCTTTAAATGATACTGCTACTTTCCTTCTCTAAATACAATGACAGCAGTAATTATTCAAGTAATGGACTAAAAATGAGTAGAAAAAAATATTATTTTTAAAAAGAGGGAAAAGACATGGTCATATGGCAGTTCCTGAATCTTTTAGTACTTAAAAAAAAATCCTTATGTTAAAAAATAAATTATAAACCTGGCATTGGAGAGCTAATATGCTATTCAATCATTTATCCAATAAATATTAATAAAGCATCTATAATGGGCAAAGCATTGTGGTATATGGTATTTTAGCAAAGACAAAGAGAATATGGTCCCTGACCACAAGACCTCACAATCTAGAAGGGAAAATAAGACATAAATATAGTCAGCTGTAATACAAAATAAAACGTGACAAGGGGTGTAAGACAGGAATGAATAATTTATAAATAATATAGGTCAGAGGAAGGAGGGATCTGCGGTGGGCAAATTTAGTCACAAA